TCTTTGGGCAGTCCATGGTCCTCTCAATATTCCCCACCAGCACCACTGTTAAAACCCTGGGTTCTTCTTCCGTCTTCCGTGTCTAGCCACCTTTCACATGCATATGAAGCGACTGAAACCACTGTGGCTTGGGTCAGGGACATGTCAGTCCTCAAAGTAGGCTCCTTGCCATCCAAGATTTTATGGAGGTCCTGGTGCAGCAGATGTACCGAATGCAGTACTTCTTCTGATCTATTTTTTAAAGGAAAGTTTTATGGGCCTATAATTCATATGTGATAAAATTTAATAGTCTAAGAACATGAAGAAGAGTTGTGCAATCATCCCCACCATAATTTTAGAACATTTCTTCTTTACTAGCTCTCCGTTTGCCCCCAACTTCCCCAGGTATATCCCCAAGGAACCATTAATCCAGTGACTGTTGCTATAAACTTACCTGTCCTGGATTTCATATCCAGAAAAACATTTTTAAAATACTAACAACAATAACAAAGTTTCAATAAAAATTTCAATAAAAAAGAAATCAGAATAACTTAAAACGAGAAGAAAATTAAGATAGATCAAGTTATAAGGTACTAAATTTTAACTTAACTGCATCTCCAATGCTATTCACAAGGTAAAACAAGCCTAGTCACATTCCTGGTCTCTGATCAGAGGGAATTCACCAGAGGCTTAATCCATTTTATTTCCTTCACTTTTTTTTTTCACTGAAAGAACTTTTAAATGGGATAAAAGGGAGTTCAAACGATATTACATTTTAATCTAACCACGTTTGCCATAATTGATTGTACAATGCTCTCTGTCTGATAACAAGGCTATCACATTCCTCAACTATGATCAAGGGGTAGGAGTTCCCTTGAGGCTTGATCTACGTGGGTCGTCTGAAAATATATCTTGGGCTCCCACTATCATCCATAGTCTTCTGAAAATCAGTTGTTCACAATTTAAGCTCAGATACCATTCCCTCCTTGCGACTTTGATTTTATTATTTATAATCCTTGGATCACACAAACTGGTGTGCTTCGTCCTTGTGGACTTAGTTGGGACCCCATTCTTCTGGTGTCTTCAATTCGTCTTCCATGAGCATTAATTGTGGATCCAAGCCTGATAAAATCGTTGACAACTTCCATCTTTTCTCTGTATAAGGATGTTACCCACTGGTCCAGTTGGTAGGACCTTGGTCTTCTTTACATTGGATAGTGGCAGTAATCATGCCCGAGAGCCCTCCAGGGCAA